TATTAAAGGAAAAGAAAAAGAAAAAAACCGTGCTATCCAGAGGGTGCCTCCCTAAGATGTTCGCTGCTAGTAGTCATCAAATCCTTCTGAGCTTTCCAAATCTCCCTAGTTGGTCACGGGGTCCAGGTCATCACGGACAACATGACCACCCTGTATTATATCAACAAACAGGGTGGCACCCATTCTTTATATCTTATATATTTAGCAATTCAGCTGTGGGAATGGTGTTACGATCACCACATCTTTCCCATAGCTCTTTATGTGGCTATGGAGAACAACAAGGTCGCTGACCGACTGAGCTGTCATTACCCAAACCCACGAGTGGGCTCTCAACAACACTGTCTTCTCTCTTCTCTTCAGTTGGTGGGGGATGCCAGGTCTCGACGTCTTCGCCACCAAGGTCAATTCCAAATGCAACAACTACTGCTCTTGGGCAGGAAGAGGAAAGAATTATCTAGGCGACACATTCATGGTGGACTGGGGCAATGTTCTTCTTTATCTTTTTCCACCTATTCCACTCATCTAGTACATGATAGTCAGGCTCCGCCAGCTAAACTCAGATGCCATTCTACTAGCACCGTGGTGGCCTCATCAACCATAGTTCACCACTCTCAGAGCCATAGCTATTGACTTCCTGAAGCTACCCCTTCAACTGTCCCTTCTGATGCAGGATGAGGGTCAAATTTGCCACCCCAACCTCGACTCTCTACACCTCACTGCATGGAGAATTCCCCTAACATAGCTGAAGTCTTAAATAGGGCTAGGAAACCATCTACTCAATTGCTGTATTTGTATAAGTGGAACACTTTCATCAAGTTTGCTGCATTGCGAAACTTGCCCATGGTTCCTGTCTCCTTGGATGCCCTGCTGAAGTTTTTTCGTTGTTTGACCGTGGTTTGGCTCATTTAACATTGAAAGTTTATATTTCCGCGATAGTTTCATATCAGCCTGAGGGGTCTGAAGCCTCCTATTTATTTTCTCATCCCATTTTACAGAGATTTCCGAGAGGCTTGCGGAATATGCGCCCATCTACACGACCTCCACTTCCACAGTGGTCTCTACAGATGGTTCTCCGCATGTTCGCTCATCCACCGTTTGAGCCCATGGCCTCGACGAATCTCAAACTTCTTGCTATCAAGACTTTGTTCTTTGTGGCTATAACTTCTGGACGTTGAGCAAGCAAGCTCTCCGCTCTTCGAGCTGAGGCCCCTTACATTCAGTTTTATCCCAACAAGGTTGTCTTATATCCAAATGTGTTCTTTCTTCCCAAAGTGATTTCTGATTTCCATATTAATTAACCACTAATTCTTCTGACATTATTTCCAAATCCCTCTTTTGATCTTGATAGCATGCTCCACTCCCTTGACGTTCGTCGTGCGTTAGCATTCTACATTTCCAGGACTAAGGAATCCCACACTTCCCCCAGACTTTTTGTGTGCTTCCATGGCCCACAAAAGGGCTCTCCTGCCTCCTCGCCATCTCGAGGTGGATTGTCTCAGCCATTACTTTGGCTTATGACTCCGCCAGAAGTGCTGAAGGCACACTCCACGAGAGCAATGGCAACATCTACAGCTTGGTTGTGTGGCATTGAAGTCCCTGACATCTGTCAAGCGGCCACTTGGTCTACACCCTTGACTTTTGTGATGCATTATTGTCTTGACGCCAGGGTCAAGAAGGAAGCAAGTTTTGGAAGGGCTGTGTTGACTTCGTTGTTGGCATGACGGCCCTCCTTCTGGAAAATTAGCTTGCTAGTCACCCATTTGTGTGCATTCAGAGGCCACAAAGAAAGAGAGCTTACCTGTAACCATGGTTCTGTAAGTGGTCCTCTGTGAATCCACACATCCCGCCCAGCCCCCCCCCCCCACTGTCCATCACTTGGTGTCTTGAGCTTTGTGGGGTCAGAGCCTTGACAGCGGCGGACATTTTCAGAACTGAGGTATTACGGGTGAGTGGAGCATGCGCAAAACAGGGCAATGTCCTACTAATCATGTATTTTTAATCTCTAGAATATTCTGAAGAGTCCTGTGCAGGCGCAGTAAAACATTTGCGTGGATTCACAGAGGACCAGTCGAAGAACCATGGTTACAGGTAAGTAACCTCTATTTCTGTCAGATGTGTCATGAAGTTGGTGCCCATGTCCAAGATGCTGAAGATTCTTTGAGCACCAACAGGGAGATAAAAATTGTATAAAGGACATGATCCAGATCTCTGAAAAGGACGTGCTTTGCAGGCGCAGTAAAACATTTGTGTGGATTCACAGAGGACCAGTCGAAGAACCATGGTTACAGGTAAGTAACCTCTATTTCTGTCAGATGTGTCATGAAGTTGGTGCCCATGTCCAAGATGCTGAAGATTCTTTGAGCACCAACAGGGAGATAAAAATTGTATAAAGGACATGATCCAGATCTCTGAAAAGGACGTGCTTTTTGTTTTAGACAATTTTGCAGTGTTGTACTTGTCTCTGGTCAAGTAACAGGCAGAATGCCAGAAGCATATGTGTCCATGCACCTTCAGTTGTAGGAATTCAAAGCAATTTTAAGTGGCAGCCATTATTAACAGGATTCTTCAGATAATATTCTATAAGAATGGTAAATTTAAAGAAATCTCCAGGCTGATCTCATTAGAGGGTCAAATTCTGTGGCTTTCCTCCCTTAACTTGTAACATGCCAATGTAAGTATATCTCATGTATAAGTGATGAGAGAATTATAAAGTTAACCAGCCAATAGACATTTTGATGCTTTACACCAGATTTTTCCACTTCAGTCTTGATCTTAGAAGTCATCTGAGAGAGTGCTGAGGTAAATATAAATAGGTTCTGAACTTAATCTCAAGTCTCTGTCCTAAGATATACTGGGTGTTGACATGCCCCCAACTGTGTCTTGCTATTTTAAGTGGCTGCTAAATTACCTTGCAAATTAACCTCTCTGCCTCTTTGCAATTAAGACCAGGCAGGTGAATTTGTCATTGTCAATGACAGCTTCTCTCCCAGACTATATCCAGGCAAACTTGTTTCTCCTTGGGTCATGCTGAGGATGAAGAAACTTTCCAGTCCCTGTCCTTCCAACAGAAACTTCAAGGGATAGATGAGAATGATCCAGGGTAATTAACACAGGCAAGTTCTGAAATGACTGGTTTTCTGTAACAGGAAATATTCCTAGTCCTGATGCATTTAGATTTATTAAAAACTGCTAAAGCCGCCTAGTTGCCGAAATGACTAGATAGGTGGGGTATGTATAAATAAATAAATAAATAAATAAATAAATAAATAAATAAATAAATAAATAAATAAATAAATACATACATACATACATACATACATACATACATACATACATACATACATACATACATACATACATAATAAAATGATTCTGCACTAGATTTTAAATTATTCCCCTAAACAGCCATTCAGAAAAATAGGTGGCTAATTCCTGAAATATTGCAACTTTAATTCATACAATTCATAGATTAATCAACAACTTTAGTTGGTTGATAGGTGAATAGAGGTCAGCTTTCTCTAGTAAGGCAGGATAATAGGTACAATATATTAAAATATTAATTTAATTCCGTTTGTATATAAGACAGAATAAAAGAAAATACTGAAAACAGTAGTTACTGCTAGTAACATGTAAGGTCAAGATGTCATCATACTTGAAGCAGAAATACTAGCAGAAATACTGAAATCCAAGTCCTAGTATATTGAGAAGTCCCATTGATTTCAGTAGTCTTGCTCTGTTGTTTGCTGTTAAGTCAGAACCAACTGATAGTGACCCTAAACAGGGTGTTCAAGGTAAGTATTTAAGGACTGGCTTTACCAGTTCCACATTCTGTGAGATTCCATGGCTTAACAGGGATTTGAACCCAGGTCTCCTGAGTCCTAGTCCCACACCACACTGAGTATTGGTTTTGCTCTTGGTATATCTAAATCTGAATACAACTCAAAAAGTGGCATTTTGTTAAATTCCTTCCTAATTTACCCTCACAACTCTAAGCTACATCAGGCATGAAAAGTGACTTAATTGTAATTAGTTAAAATGCAGGTGAAAAACTAAAGATTATTTGATACCTAAACAGTTTATTTCTGCACATTTGGATGATACATCTTCCCCAGTAGGAAGCAATCCTTGACTGTGCCAATAGCATCATTATATGGTGCAGTTGCTAGCTGGCCGACTTCTTGTTGCCCTGGTGAATTCAGGAGTTCGCCTTTGCTGGTCTAGTCTTGTCAGAACATGGCATCCGAGTTCTTGTTTTACTGGTTTTCCTTCTACAGTAAATCTTCCATGGCAGTCACTAAACTTTCCCTATGTGTTAAGCCATTGATTGATTGGAGTCACCTAGAGTGGTCGAAATGAC